AGACTTTTTGATAAATGGTAAGCTTTTTTCTAAAAAGCCGTTCTGATTAGGCGTCCCAATAAATTGGTGGTCCTTTTAAACCTTGCTGAACGCAATCCATTAGACTGAAGTGAGTCATCAAGTATCATCTTTCGGGGTGAGGAGGAAGGGCAGCATAAGGGAAGCAGCGGAGAAGAACGCTCGGGCAGGGAAGCGACTAAAAGACAAAAGGACACACACAAAACCACAAACACACAGCAACACACAACACAACGGACACGCACCAACGCACACGGCACACACAAAAACACGGCACACAACACGCACAACACACACACACAACACACGACACGAAACCCCAGGACAGCACACACACCACACACACACCACACCCCACGCACACACAAAACACACAAACACACACACCACCACACCAACACGCAAAAAACGCACAACACACAAAAACAAACAACAGAAAAAAACAAAACGACACAAAAAAACACGCACAAAACACACAACAAAATACACACGAAAAAGACACAAACAAAACAAACCACACACACACACAAACACACAAACACAACACACACACGCACACCAAAACGCACACACAACACAAACAAACACACGCACACCGCACACACACACACAGAACACACACAAACAACACACCCCACACCACACAAACGACAACACACACACACGACCACACAACACACCCCACACACACACAACACACACAAACACCACAAAACACACACACGGACACGCACACACCACACGCACACAACACACGCACACGCACGCGCACGCACAAACAAACACACGCACACCACGCACAAACACACCACACGCACACACGAACACGCACGCGCACAAACACACGGCACAGCACGCGCACACACATCACCACACCCAACATCACCCCAACACGCACACAAGCACACACGCACACACGCACACACACGAACACCACGCCAACACACCACCCACAACGCACCCAAGCACACACAAACACACGCACACCACGCACACACACACTAACACACAACACGCACAAACACAACCACACGCAACAGCACACACACACGCACACACACACGCACAAACACACACACGCAAACACACCAACAGGCACACACACACACACGCACACACAAACACACAAACACACAAACACACGCACCACCACACTCACACTACATACACAACACACTCACACACTCACACACACACTCACACACACTCACACACCATTCTCACTCACACAAACACACTCACTCTCACACAGCCCCTAAAGAACTGAAATGATCCATTCAGTCACGTTGGCTGAAAGTGTTGACTCTGTCAGCTTCAAACCATGATCACAGTGTGTGTGTTTGTGTGTGTCTGTGTGTGAGTGAGTGTGTGTGTGTGTGTGTGTGTGTGTGTGTGTGTGTGTGTGTGTGTGTCAGACTGTTAGTGTATTCTCAGACCTCTAGGGCTCAGAGCCTACTGTCTGGACGAAGCTGCAATCACCATCCATTACCATGTTATTCACACTGAGGGCAAGACAGAGAGAGAGGGGGAGGAGAGATAGGGGGAGGAGAGAGAGGGGGAGGAGAGAGAGGGGGAGGAGAGAGAGGGGGAGGAGAGTGCGTGAGAGGCAGGGAGAGGGGGGGGGGGGGGGTTAGAATATGTGACAGCTAATAGGTCACTGACGGCTGGCTGAGATGATGACCCGATTCTCTAACACCCTTCTCAGGCCTCCCCCTCCCCCTCCCCACCACCACCACCAAACACACACACACACACACACACACACAGAGAGACACACACACACACAGAGAGACACACACACACACAGAGACACGCACACACAGAGACACACACAGCTACAGTGAGGGGAAAAAAGTATTTGATCCCCTGTTGATTTTGTACGTTTGCCCACTGACAAAGAAATTATCAGTTTATAATTTTTAATGGTAGGTTTATTTCAACAGTGAGAGACAGAATAACAACAAACAAATCCAGTAAAACGCATGTCAAAAATGTTCTAAATTGATTTGCATTTTAATGAGGGAAATAAGTATTTGACCCCCTCTCAATCAGAAAGATTTCTGGCTCCCAGGTGTCTTTTATACAGGTAACGAGCTGAGATTAGGAGCACACTCTTAAAGGGAGTGCTCCTAATCTCAGTTTGTTACCTGTATAAAAGACACCTGTCCACAGAAGCAATCAATCAATCAGATTCCAAACTCTCCACCATGGCCAAGACCAAAGAGCTCTTCAAGGATGTCAGGGACAAGATTGTAGACCTACACAAGGCTGGAATGGGCTACAAGACCATCGGCAAGCAGCTTGGTGAGAAGGTGACAACAGTTGGTGCGATTATTCGCAAATGGAAGAAACACAAAATAACTGTCAATCTCCCTTGGCCTGGGGCTCCATGCAAGATCTCACCTCGTGGAGTTGCAATGATCATGAGAATGGTGAGGAATCAGCCCAGAACTACACGGGAGGATCATGTCAATGATCTCAAGGCAGCTGGGACCATAGTCACCAAGAAAACAATTGGTTACACACTACGCCGTGAAGGACTGAAATCCTGCTGCGCCCACAAGGTCCCCCTGCTCAAGAAAGCACATATACATGCTGTCTGAAGTTTGCCAATGAACATCTGAATGATTCAGAGGAGAACTGGGTGAAAGTGTTGTGGTCAGATGAGACCAAAATCGAGCTCTTTGGCATCAACTCAACTCGCCGTGTTTGGAGGAGGAGGAATGCTGCCTATGACCCCAAGAACACCATCCCCACCGTCAAACACGGAGGAGAAAACATTATGCTTTGGGGGTGTTTTTCTGCTAAGGGGACAGGACAACTTCACCGCATCAAAGGGACGATGGACGGGGCCATGAACCGTCAAATCTTGGGTGAGAACCTCCTTCCCTCAGCCAGGGCATTGAAAATGGGTTGTGGATGGGTATTCCAGCATGACAATGACCCAAAACACACAGCCAAGGCAACAAAGGAGTGGCTCAAGAAGAAGCACATTAAGGTCCTGGAGTGGCCTAGCCAGTCTCCAGACCTTAATCTCATAGAAAATCTGTGGAGGGAGCTGAAGGTTCGAGTTGCCAAACGTCAGCTTCGAAACCTTAATGACTTGGAGAAGATCTGCAAAGAGGAGTGGGACAAAATCCCTCCTGAGATGTGTGCAAACCTGGTGGCCAACTACAAGAAACGTCTGACCTCTGTGATTGCCAACATGGGTTTTGCCACCAAGTACTGAGTCATGTTTTGCAGAGGGGTCAAATACTTATTTCCCTCATTAAAATGCAAATCAATTTATAACATTTTTGACATGCGTTTTTCTGGATTTTGTTGTGGTTATTCTGTCTCTCACTGTTCAAAAAAACCTACCATTAAAATTATAGACTGATCATGTCTTTGTCAGTGGGCAAACGTACAAAATCAGCAGGGGATCAAATACTTTTTTCCCTCACTGTACATGAAAGGAAGAATGTTAGACTGCGTCTGAAAAGACCATAGGGCTCTGGTTGAAAGTGGTTCACTACAGTATAAATGGAATAGGGTGCTGTTTGGGACTCAACCAGAGAGCTGCCCTGCCTGTTGCCAGAGAGCTGCCCTGCCTGTTGCCTGAGAGCTGCCCTGCCTGTTGCCAGAGAGCTGCCCTGCCTGTTGCCAGAGAGCTGCCCTGCCTGTTGCCTGAGAGCTGCCCTGCCTGTTGCCAGAGAGCTGCCCTGCCTGTTGCCAGAGAGCTGCCCTGCCTG